ATATATATATATATATTTATATATATATTTATATATTTATATATATATATATACACACACACCTTGAAAAGAGGAAGCTAAAGACACAGAAGAAGAATTAAAAAACCAAAACCTTCAGTCCTTATACAGTAGCTTACTTTAGAGGAGAGGTTTAGCAAGCTTAAAAAAAAAAGAATTCCATCCTATTTGAAAGAATACTGGATAAGTACTAAAAGCAGCAGTCAGATTTTTAGAAACAAGTCAAACTTACTGGTTTGAGATCCCTGTGGGCATACCCCTGACTGTGCACATAAGCAATTGCTGAAACAATCTGACGGAAAAATATACGAGCTTCCTCTTCTGAAAGGCGATCCTTGGAGATTATATAATCAAACAACTCTCCTCCAGGACAATACTGCAATGAGACAGGAAAACTGTATTTGAGACAAAAAATTGTGATCTACCAAGTAACCTTACACTTGTAAGGCATTGTAAAGAAGACACCTTGGCCAGCCTTGTATAGTACACTGTCATTTTAGTTCTAATGCAGTAGTGCCCAAAGGTCCCCCAATCAGGAGCAGGATATTATTGTGCTAGGTGCGATACAAAGAGGAAGACCTGATCCCTGTCTGAAAGGGTAAACAGTTTTTTGGTAATGACAACAGCAGCATAACATGCAGTAGGAAGGTGGCAGAATTTGGTTATGCAATAACTAAGTCTAAGCATGTGTACTTCTTGATCATATTTTTAAAAAGTGAAAGAATCATAGAATGTCAGGGTTGGAAGGGACCTCAGGAGGTCATCTAGTCCAACTCCCTGCTCAAAGCAGGACCAATCCCCAGACAGATTTTTACCCCAGTTCCCTAAATGGCCCCCTCAAGGATTGAACTCACAACCCTGGGTTTAGCAAGGCCAATGCTCAAACCACTGAGCTATCCCTCCCCCCGTATGAGTGAATAAAGTATGAATATTGACTCACTTATTGTGAGCATTGCTGGAGTCAATTTTTAGGAGCAACTTGAATGAGGGAAGGATTAGTGATTGAACAAACCACAGTAGAGAGCACTTTATCTGCCTGGGGGCAATATGAAAATAGAAACTCTTGTGAGAAGCTGATAGAACAGTGAGTTTGGCATCAATGGCAGGAGAGGTGCAATAATATGAGGTCTGATACATATGCAGAGGTCGCATTAAGTAGGGCCTTGAAAGTGAAGACAAAGTTTGAACTGAAGCAACGAAGAAAGGTGAGCCAGTTGAAAGATTAAATCAGAATGGATTAGGATTATGCAGCTGCATTTCTTGTGGGGACAGGGGGAGGCGTATGGATGTTGGATAGACTGGAGAGATGCTATCATCTTCGATTGCCAGATAGGTTCTTATTTCACTTTATAGCTCTCTTGCTCTAGAGCAGAGCCACAATTTCAGGCTGTACATATGGCAAGTGACTATTTGAATCCTTCCCAACACACTGATTTAAATTTTGAGAGACTTTTGTAGAGAATCTACAAGCCAAGTTTTGAAAGTAACCCATTTTAAACTGGTGTCTCTTTTACAATGTCTGCCCTATTTGGTCATCTGTACGGAGGGATTACTGGGGACTCAAAAGGTGAGCTTTTAGCCATCCCACACAAAGATTGAGTTATTAACATTAGATATTCCAGAAGCATCAACACTGAATCTAACCTCTAAGACCATGAATATCTTCTTGGATGTCTCTATCACATGGTATAATCGGCAAATATGCTGGTGACTCAAGTTCTTCATTGCATCAATTTCGGTTTTAACACGAGGTAAGTCACCCTAAGAGATGAAAGCCAGTTATACAGTTGCTAAATATGGCTATTTCCACATCCTGTGCAGTGCTCCTACTGCAACTAATGACAACATGTTCACGTGTATATAATTAAGGTCAACCCAGGATAAGGTTTGGTATAGCTATAAGAGTTCAGAATTCGGTACACAGGTCAGACACACAGAAGTTTAATGCAATTGTTACAGTGAAAAGTTTGACTTTTTCCCTGCAAAAGTTGTCAAGAAATTGTTAGGTCCTAAATTGGAGCAACTTTACATTATTTTAAACTGTGAAATGAGTGTCCCATCAATATCAGTGTCACCAAAAATAAGTGGTTTTTGGAGGTTCATAAAGTTCTTGCAAGTTCTAAAGTGTCTTTCTAGAACCAGCTAACAATTCTACACATTACCAATGTTTCATGAGTAAAAAAGTGGAGGATGTCTCCCATTACAAAATGGCATCTCAAGCAGCATGCTACTTCGACTTACCCCCAAAGCCAGTTTGTCCATGATTTTGATTGCAACTTTTTCACCAGTAAGGAGATGGCGACCTAGCTTCACCTTTGCAAAGCCACCTGAATTTAGAAGTGAGGCAGTAAGAATCCAAGATGAAAGTTAATTTTCTCCTCAATAATCCTTTTATAGAGTCACACTACAGGAGCAAAAACAACAAGGAGTCTAGTGGCACCTTAAAGACTAACAGATTTATTTGGGCATAAGCTTTCGTGGGCAAAAACCTCACTTCTTCAGGTTACCCCCTGATACTTGACTACAGGAGCAAGTCTTACAGTTTACTGAAAGCTTTTTACAGCTAAAAGTACTAAAGAGGATTTCTTCTGGATAAAAAAAAAAATCTCAGAATTTTATTCAGCAAATTTAGCATGCGAAATCTGATCTCTAGACTAGTTGCTACCATAGCAATCTGCTTTTGATTTGGATGAAGCTGAAACATTAAGAATAAGTTTTAACTGTTTTACTTTAAGAGATAAAAGTACCTGTCCCAACTGTTTCATATAATTCATAGTACTTGAGAATTTCCTCATAGTCATCTACACCCATGTTGAGATAGGCAAAGTTTAGCGGTACTTCTGAAGTCCTGGCAATGACATAGGAGAACATGATCAGTTATGCTTTAAGATCTCTACCTAAGAAACACTATTTTCTTAACAAAATGTAGTCAAAAAATGTAACCTTGAAACTTAACATTCACTGAAGACACAATCTACCTGAAAATCTGCTTCAATAGCCAGTTTCTGTATGCCTAGAACATGCTGAAGTTATAGTCTAGTGAGTTTGCAGTTAGAGTCTATTTCCACAGTATCCTATCAAGTGTCAGTACCCAAGAGATGAATTTTACTTCTGCCATCTAACCAAGTTACAAACTAAAGTGCTCACCTGCTCCGATTGGTGGCTTTCCTTTCATCTCATTAACAGCACTGACACTTGACCTCCCCCATCAAGACTGCAATTGATACTACTGAACATTTTAATTTATTCAGAATAAGAAAGTTTGGCTGGTGTTTACTGATTACTGTAAATTAGACTTTCTGCACTTACTCTGTAGCTCAGTGAAAAGCTTCAGATTTCAACCCTATGCAGAGGTCAGCACTCCAATTTCCTAACTGCATTGCATGGCTTACAACAAACGGCAGTATTTCTGTAACAGTGCCAGCTTCCCCTTCCTTATCAGACTAGTCTGATTGGAGTGAAGGATATTGTAACAGTTGCTATGCCAGGCCAGTCACCACAGTTACACCCATCACAATAGGATCATAAGAGCACACATACCTGGGTCACAAAACCCTCAATTTACCTTGGCCCTAGAGGCACAGGCCTTGCCTTAGTCTAGGCTAGGAAACAGGTCAAGACCCAAGCTCAGGCTACGATTTGGTCACGGAATCCATGACTTCCAGTGACCACCATGACTGGTGGGGAGCTACAGGGTCCCCCCAGCCTAGCGCTCCCAACCACCACAGGGAAACCCCTGCTGCCTCAGGAGGAGGGGTACCCTGCAGCCACCACTGCTGCAGGCAACTCCTAGCCCCTGCGCAGATGCCCCCCTTCAGGCAGTATGAGCATCTGCAGAGCCCCATTTTGTCCCAGATATTTTCAGTAAAAGTCAAACAGGTCACAGATTCTGTTAATTTTTCTTTTTTGCCCATGACCTGTCTGACACTTTTACTAAAAATATCCATGACAAAAATCGTAGCCTGACCCATAGCTGACATCAGGTTGGCAACTGCACTATCACCCTTGATGTAGACGGGTGTCAACACAGGAGCTAGTCAGGGTCAACGCTGGTTCCATCAGCATAGCCACACTACCCGTTTTACTCTGAGTTAATGGCTTGCCAGGTAACTCAAGTTAGCCATCAGATTTACATAGGTTCATCTGGTCACGCCACTCACATTCGTTCCAGGACACAGGGTTGGGGCTTTACCATAGGCTAACCTCCAGAATAAACAGTTAGGCAGCATCCAGAGTAACCTTCATCCATCTATTGCTGCGGGGAATTCACTGGCAATCAATTAACTCCAGGTAAAACCCCTCTGCAGCGTTGCCAACTCTTAGGCTTTTATCCCAACCCGCATGCTAGGGGGTGGCTTTTCTCCAAGCTCCAGCTCCGGGAGTCCTGTGAGGACCGGAGCTTCAGGTTGCATTTAAGCCTTTTGGAGAGGAGCCCTATAGGCTCAGAGCCCAAACCACCGTCAGGCACCTGCCCGGGGATCTCTGAGCATTTGGGGTTGGCAGTGGCATAGCCCCCAGCCCAGGGTGGCCCCCAAGAGCCAGGGGCCTGGAGGAAGGGAGACTCCAGCGAACCCGCAGCACGGGGCCAGCTGATGGGAGGGGCCCGGGCGGGGAGGGATAGGAGGGGCCCAGGGAGCAGGACGATGGGGCGGGGGCGGCAGCGGAGCTGGGGGGCGAGGGGGGGCAGGACGGGGGGGGCAGCGGAGCGGGGGGCGAAGGGGATTAGGGGCCCCGCACTGACGCCCCCGATCCCAGCTCATCCCTCGGGCTCCGCCCCCGCGGCCGCGCTCACCTGCCCGGCGGGAGCGGTCTCTAGGCAACGCGGCGCTCCCGAGGTCGAAAACACCGAGCGCGAGCCACCGCGGCCGCTACCGCTTCCAACGTTTAAATTTCCCTGCCAACCCAGCCTCTTCCGGCCGCGGCGGCCGGCCGACCAATCAGATCGAAGCGGCGTCGCGGAAGGGGCGGGATGTGTCGGGAGGGTCATGGGAGGAGGGTCAGAGGTGCCGGTGTGGGCTGAGCTGGGCGCCATGTTGGGGGTGGCTTTTACCCCGCCTCCTGAGTCCTGGCTAGAGTTGCCTTAGGGGCTACGCGGGCCCTGGCCGGCTCCGCCTCATCCCTGTGGTTGATTCAGACGCGCGTGTCCTGAGCGTGTGGCAGGGCCCAATGACCGGGGCCGGCTCTGCAGGGCAGTTATTTGCTTCCCCCCATCCCAGGGTCCCACCCACAGGGACGTCACAGGGAGGACTAGGGTTGCCAAACACCCTAGCCCCGCCCCCTGCCCGTCTCCTCATCAGAGGCCCCGCCCCTTCTCTGAGGCCCCGCCCCACTCACTCCATCCCCCCTCCCTCTCTCGTTCGCTCTCCCCACCCTCACTCACGCCCTCATTTTCACTTAGGCTTGGTCTACACTACCCCCCCTAATTCGAACTAAGGTACGCAACTTCAGCTACGTGAATAACGTAGCTGAAGTTCGAAGTACCTTAGTTCGAATTAGTTCAAACTTACCTTGGTCCACACTCGGCAGGCAGGCTCCCCCGTCGACTCCGCGGTACTCCTCTCGGCGAGCTGGAGTACCGCAGTCGACGGCGAGCACTTCCGGGTTCAACTTATCGCGTCCAGACTAGACGCGATAAGTCGAACCCAGAAGTTCGATTTCCAGCCGTCGAACTTGCGGGTAAGTGTAGCCAAGGCCTTAGGGTGACCAGATAGCAAGTGTGAAAAATTGGGATGGGGGTGGGGGGTAATAGGAGCCTATATAAGAAAAAACTCCAAATATCAGGACTGTCCCTATAAAATCGGGACATCTGGTCACCCTATTTTCACTGGGCTGGCTCAGGGGGTTGGGATGCGGGAGGGAGTGCAGGGTAGGGCTTGAAATGAGGGGTTCAGGGTGCAGGAGGGGGCTCTGGGGTGTGGGAGGGGGTGAAGGCTCTGAGCTGGGGGTGTAGGCTCTGGGGTGGGGCTGGGGATGAGGGGTTTGGGGTGCAGGACGGGGCTGGGGGGGTGGAGCCAAGGTGTTTGGAGTATGGGAGGGGGCTGGAGTTCAGGGTGTAGGAGGGGGCTCCGGCTGGGGCAGGGGTTTGGGATGGAGGGGGGTGAGCAGGGCCGGCTTTATTAACTGCGGGGCCCGATTCGAATACATGGCGGCGGTCCAGGGCTTCAGCGGCACTTCGGTGGCGGGGGGTCCGCTCCAGGTCTTCCGCGGCACCGAAGGACCCCCCCACCGCCGAAATGCCGCCAAAGATCCCGGAGCAGACCGCCGCTGGATGAGTAAAGAAAAAAATTTAAAAGGCGCCTAAGGCGCGGGGCCCTGGCGCGGGGCCCGATTCCTGGGAATCGGACGAATTGGCCTAAAGCCGGCCCTGGGGATGAGGGCTGTGGGGTGGGGCCAGGGATGAAGGGTTTGAGATGCAGGAGGGGGCTCCGGGTTGGGGAGTGGAGCCAAGGGATTCAGAGTATGGGACGGGGCTCCGGGCTCAGGCAGGGGGTTGGGGTGAAGAAGGGGGTACAGGCTCTGGGCTCGGGGGGTGAGTTCCAGGATGAGGCCAAAATTGAGGGATTCAGGGTGCAGGAGGGGACTCTGAATTGGGGCAGGGTGGTGTGGGGGAGGGTTCCAGCTGGGGGTGCAGACTCTGGGCTGGGGATGAGGGGTTTGGTGTGTAGGAGGGGGCTCCAGGCTGGGACCGAGAGGTTAGGAGGGCAGGAGGGGAATCAGGGTTGGGGCATACAGGGAGGGTGAGGGTTATGGCTGGGGGTGTAGGCTCTGGGGTGGGGCTAGGGATGAGAGGTTTGGGGTGCAGGAGGGTGCTCTGGGCTGGAACTGAGGGGTTCAGAGGGCAGGAGGGGGATCAGGGCTGGGGCAGGGGGTTGGGTGAGGGCTCCAGCTGGGGGTGCGGACTCTGGGGTGGGGCTGGGGCCAGAGGTTGGGGTGCAAGCTTCGGGCAGCGCTTACCTCTGGCTCCTAGGTACAGGGGCAGCCGGGCAGTGCTGTGCGCTGCCCCATCCGCAGGCGCCTCCCATGCAGCTTTCATTGGCTGCAGTTCCTGGCCAATGGGAGCTGCTGAGCCGGTGCTTGGGGTGGGGGCAGCGTGCAGAACCCCCAGCTGCCCCTACTCATAGGAGGCCGGGGGGGGGGGGGGGGTAGGGGGACAACATGCCAGCTGCTTCCGGGAGCTGTGCGGAGCCAGGGCAGGCAGAGAGCCTGTCCGCTACGCCCCTTTTCAACTGGGTGTTCCGGTCTAAAACTGGACACCTGGCAACTCTAAGTCCAGGCATGGGGCTGGGCTATGTGCTGGCTCAGCCATGTCACCCCCGGCACAGCCCCACACTGAGCCGGCCTAGCACAGTGCTGCCTTCCCTAGCACAACCCCGCGCCACTGGCTCCTGCCTAAGAGCCACCCACAGCTGTCACTACACCCTTCCACGGAGTCTCCACCATTACTCCTCAATGCAAAAAGGAAGAAAGGGTTGATATTCATTGAATTCTTTTTTTTTTCCTTGGAAAAAAAGGCACCTTCCTGTCAGCAGTTTCCCAAAGAGAATGGGGGAAGTTCCATCACATGGGATATTAAAAACAAACTGCTTTGATTCTGTGAGCTGATGCCTTTGCTCAGTATAGCAAGTGCTTTTCTTTAACGCTGTATCCCATGGCAAGCTCAGGGGCGAGATGCACAGCTGGTGTAATGTGGATTTATACCAGATGTGAATCTGGCCCCTCACCTAATTTGCTATCCACTATCCTGGCTAGATCTTTCTCTGTGTTATTGCTTGTCAGCTGTCTCCTTCTCATTACATGGTATGTCTGTACTTTGGATTATTTTTTCTGAAATTGATTAGCTTGTATTTTTGTAGGCTGCGTGTTCATTTGATAATTCTTTCTCAGTCTTCCTATCTCTTTCTAGATTCATGTTTATGTTCCCGCTGTACTCCAGAGATTTAACACGGAGATTTCTAGTAACTGTAATCTATACACAAATACTATAGGAACGTCTGCCATTGAGAACATCACATGACACTGATTGTTGCCATTTTGGCATTCAAAAGAGGAGACTTTTTATAGGATGCATGCAAATATTTAGTTTGCACAGCCTATAGTAAATATTTCACCTAAAACATTGACATTGTTCCTAAATTGTTGTGCAGCCGTTAATTATAGTAGGTTTGAACATAGAAACAGAATCCAAATGTTGTTAATTAGGAAGACTACAGCTGCTATTAATGCAGTTTTAGTTATGAGCAGAATGTAATGATTCCATAATGAATAGGTAACTTAGGTTTACGGAGACTGGGCCATGTTAGACACATTTGATTGGTTTCTTTTTATATTAGAATGTTTTAGGAACAATTACAAAATTAGTGCACAAGAATGCAGTAAATGTCATGTATTTGATGTTTAGTAAACCATTTGATCCCGTGTCTCACAAAATCTCACTTGAAAAAATAATCCAAACTGGCGTGCTACGAATACTTGCATATGGATTGAAAGCTAAAAGACTGCCAACAAAGGGGAATGATAGACAGAGATGTATTGAATTGGTGGGAAGTGTCCGGCAGGTCCTGCAAGGAGTGATGTTAGGTTGTATCTTATTCAATAAATTTACTGATGACCTGAGAGAGGGAATATGCAGCGTATTGCTAATAACATATGCAGATCCTGTTAAGTTGGAAGGAGTTGCCAACGCTCATTAGGACAGGAAAATAATACAATGGTTGCGGTTTAGAAATCGGGTAAAAAATGACAACATGAAATTGCACTTGGGAAAAAACAAACTAACACAGTCAGAGAAAAATAAACTAGAACACGTTGACTGCAATGGCGGCACAGTGGAGAGACTTGTGAAGCAGAGATGCTGAAAGAGACAGGCTGAGATTTTTAAAACCACATGGGAGACTTGGATGCCCAGTAATGTCAGTGGATACTGGGTAGCCAGGTCCCTTAGGTGGCTTTGAAGACCTCAGCCCTCGTGAACAAGAAATTAGACATGAGTTCACAAAGCAATATGGCTGCCAAAAAGGTCAATGCAGTTTTGAGCTGCATAGGCAGAAGATGAGAATCAAGCCACAGTATAGGGATGCAATTCCTTCTCCCTACAGGGCTCTGGGGAGATCGCATCTAGAATATTGTGTTCATTTTGAGCACCGTGAGACCGGAAGGATACCAACAAGTTGAAGGGAATTCAAAGAAGAGGAACAAAAAGATCAAGGGCCGGAGAGATTGATTTAAGAGGCAAGATTAGGAGAGAGAAATCAGTGCAGCTTGGCTAGCCAAAAGCTACCGATATGGATGAGGGGAACAAAATAGCAGTCTACAGGTGTATGATGGGTGTAAACATCAAGGATAGAGAGCAGGTATTTACTGTGGTATTCAGGGGTATAATTAGGAGCAATGGGAAGAACTTAAGAATGGGAGGCAGTGTGTCTTAGGGCTGGTCTCCACTACCACTTAAGTCGATGTAACTTACAGTGCTTGGGGTGTGAAAACGACACCCCCCCAAGTGACGTAAGTTACATCCACTTAAAGTGGCGTCCACATGGCGTGATATCGGCGGGAGACGCTCTCCCACTGACGTAGCTTTCGCCTCTCGCGGAGGTGGAGTAATTGTGCCGACAGGAGAGGGCTCTGGTGAAGACGCGCTACAATGGCGCAACTACTTCGGTGCAGCTGCGCCCAGAGCTGTCCTGTCCATAGGACAGACCAGGGCAACCACCCCAGGCCCCGTGCTTTGGGGGACCCTGCGCTTCAGGGAGACGCGGGGTCCAGGGCAGCCTGAGGGGTTAGCGGGGGGCCTGGCATCAGCAGCAGCGAGTGACCCAGCCCCAGCCCGCCCTGCTCCGCTCCACCCCACCAGCTCCCGATGTCGCTCGGGGGAGGGGGCGGAAGCCGGAAAGAGGCAGGGTGGGGGCAGGGACTTAGGATGGAATGGGGGTGGGGAGGGGTCAGAGCAGGGGCGGGAAGAGGCAGGCGGGGGTTGGGGGAAGGGGTGGAGTGGGGGTGGGGCAGGGGCGGGAAGAGGCAGGGCGGGGACTTGGGGGAAGGGGTAGA